AGAAATTAAGAAATTTAAAAAGCACCCATAGTCCCATCATCCTTTGTATTGTTCTCTAATTTTTTAATATGTAAGTCTACATGTCTGCAATCAAATTGAATACTTAACTTTGTTTGTAGGGACTTTTTTGTTTAGATTTTTAATTTTTTATTTTTTTGAGTTGGAGTCTCACTCTGTCACCCAGACTGGACTGCAGTGGCTGCTCCCGGTCACTGCAGCCTCGACCTGCTGGGCTCCGGCGATCCTTCCGCCTCAGCCTTCCAAGTAGCTGGAACTACAGGTGAGCGCTACCATGCCCGGTTCATTTTTTATTTATTGTGGAGATGAGGTCTCTTCAAGTTGCCCAGGCAGGTCTCGAACCCTCAGGCTCAGGCAGTCCACTCACCTCTGCCTCCCAATGTGCTGGGATTACAGGCTGAGCCACCGAGCCCGGCCCTTGTTTAGATTTTTTAAAAACATATAAAATATGACCTTGTTATTTAGAAATAAAATAGTAGGTCCTATTTTTAACTTGTACCTTCACCACTTCTCCCAAATCTCCTAATCTCATTCCCTTTATGCCTATGTTTATGAGTAGAAATGCATAGATATTTTATTCCAGTTTTTTCAGTAACATATCATAAGAATTTTTTATAACATTAACAATATTTTATCATTTTCAGTTTAATGGCAACATGTTGATGATGATAGTAGAAGCTACCATGTGTTGAGTAACTACTGTGTACCTGGCATGTAATTGCAAACCTTCTACAATAATTTGCATTTGACTGATTAGGGGAACTCTGTGACTAATAAGATGTCTGTCAGTTCAAACACTGCTCTAGCTCTCGCATGGGATACGTGACCATTATCAACCAGTCTTCCCCAATATTGGATATTTATGTTTTTGTTTTTTGTTTATTTTCTGCCATGGTATATGATGTAGGTACTATTTTTGTTTGTATCCGCATTTCAAACTGTTTCCCAATAAAGTTAACTAGAAGTGACTATTTAAAAATTTTTGACACATATTGCCACTTGCCTTCCTAAAAGTTATGCCTATTTGCAGGGGGTGATTAATTCTAATGAGAGGGAAAGTAGAGAGAGGGAGTGATATTCACAAAGGAGGTGACATTTGAGCTGGATCACACAGGATGACTAGGACTTTGCCAGAAGAGAGCCAGTGTGGACAGAACCTTCCAGGCAGGAGGAGGAAGTGAGGCTAAACACCCCACAGTCAGAAAGAACCTTTACCTCAGCAGAGTTGGTTTATTCCTTGTGCTTATTTACAACCAGAAATTCTCATCATTTGCTTATTTTATTATTGGCAGGGAAGAGAATTAGAATAAAGCCAAAGAGAATGTTAAAATTCATATGTGATTCTGCCCTTTCATATGTTTAGAAACCATTTCAAATGAAAGCTTTTTTGAAGTTCTGAGACATTACTGTTAGTCTCTCTTTTTTTTTTTTTTTTTGAGTTGGAGTCTCACTCTGTCGCCCAGACTGGAGTGCAGTGGCCGCTCCCAGCCACCACAGCCTCAAACTGCTGGGCTCCGGCGATCCTTCTGCCTCAGCCTTCCAAGTAGCCGAAATTACAGGCATGCACTACCACGCCTGGCTGATTTTTTGATTTATTGTAGAGATGAGGTCTCGCTGCTCAGGCAGGTCTCGAACCGGCGGGCTCAGGCAGTCCACTCACCTCAGCCTCCCAAAGGCGCAGGATTACAAGCTGAGCCACCGAGCCTGGCTTGTTAGTCTCTTTGCTTTTCCTTTCTCCAAAGTGGAGGACGAAAATTTGAGAATTCTGCATAATTGGGAAACTCATCAAACAAAACTCTCTGGTCTGGTCCCAGTTGCTTTCCTGGGACTAGCACCTTTGTTGCTGTTGAATCAGTTTCATTCTGTCACCCAAGCTGGAGTACAGTGGCATATTCATGGCCACTGCAACCTCAACCTTCTGTGCTGAGGAGATCCTTTCACCTTAGCCTTCCAAGTAGCTGGAACTACAGGCGTGCACCACCATATCCTGCTAATTTTTTGATTTATTGTAGAGATGAGGTCTTGCCAAGTTGCCCACACTGAACCCTTGGGCTCAGGCAATCGTCTGGCCTCTGCCTTCCAAAGTGCTGGGATTACAGACATGAGCCACCACACCGGGCCTAAGAACAGCACCTTTGACACTGGTCCTGATGTGTATAGGACATAACACCTACCATCTTCTAGTTAAATTCAAGCAGGAGAATGTCATCAACTTCTTGCATTTAACATTATTTATAGCCTTTTGCTTGACAAAATGGATACAAGTACCTAAAGCCTATTTTTAAACATGGGTTTAAATGCCAGATGATAGGGAGTCAAGTTATGCAGTAAGAAGAGCTGTAGTCGGATTTCAGCCTTTATCTGAGCACTGGTGTGTCTGTAGTTCCCTCTTTCCAGGCTGGAGCAAGTGCTGAAACCCAAGGGGTAGAGGTGACAGGGTAAGGGAGCTGTTCTGAGCCAGGAGGCTTCCACGTGCCACTTTGCATTAATCCTCTCATCACAGCTTGCACTGCAATAGGGCCACTAAGCCACTTCACATCATATTTTGAAGGAGGCAACTTATAAATTATAAATTAAGTTAATAAAATATTTCTAAGCTGTCTAAGTACCTCGGGACAAATAGGATTTTCTGTTCGCATTTGATGTGTACACTGCTGCTATGAAGATCCGGTCTACCTGACACTCATAAAGTTTATTAAATATAAATTTAATTATCTTGAAGCCTACCTATAAGTTAAAAGTTGGAGAAATTAAGGAAACATGTAAACTGCAAGTTGTCTGAAAATAAATTGTATTTTTCACTTTTAAGGAAGTGTAATACAAGTTGAGTATTCCTTATCTGAAATGCGTGGGAACAGAAGTGTTTTGAATTTTGGATTTTGTTTTTTTTTTTTAGATTTTGTAATATTTGCTTTTTACTGGTTGATTATCCCTAATCCAAAAATCTAATCTGAAATACTCTCTTGGAGCATCATGTTGCTGCAAAAAATTTCAGATTTTAGAGCATTTCAGATTTGAGATACTCATTCCCACTACTCAACCTGTAATGGGAATAGATAAAGTGAACAAATAAATGATCTTTTGGACCGTATTTAATTGATAGGTAATAACCCTTTATCATTGGTGTTGTCGTACAAACATATTCGAACAACTTTAGACATAGTCTAACAAAATTGCTGTGGCCGGTCTCCTGTCCGTCTCCTGTTCTTCAAATGTCTCCCCAGAAGGGAGACAGTAAGTGGAAGTATTACTCCTCATTACTGCCAGTAAAGCCCTAGAAGTGCTAAAAGAATACCTCTTAAGGTTCTTGCAAGCTCTTAATTGGATAATGTATATAGAACTCTTAACACTGTGCTGACACTTTTTAGTGATAGAAAATGAAGGAGGAGTTGTTATTTTTGCTTTATTATTGTGGTTGTTGTGGTTATTTAGATTATTTTACAGCAGTGACTTTTATTCCTACCTTGCTAGTCTTCTCCCCAACCCTAACAAAAGGAAGATGTAAGATAGGAAGGCTGTGTCCTCAAAACTATATATGTCTATGCAAGGGAGGCTAGAGATTACACATGGGAAATATGCAAATATGCCCCTGGGCCAGGTGTGCAGCTCTCCCCTGAGCATAAGCTGCTGTTAGTCAGGGCACCCTTCATAAGTGGCAAAATTCATCTAAAAGGGAAGCTCATGGCCATTCAAGAAAACTTACTTCCTCCAAGTTTCTGCATTAAGATGGTGAAAATGACTGAGATCTTTTCCAAAAGCTCTTGCCAACTTAAAAATTTCAAAATTAGATACAAATGAAAGTCTATGAGAAGGAAAACCCCCAGTTTACAACTTCACATTTCATTTAAACACCCCAGTCTACCTTTTAATTTCTTTAGTTGCTATTTGCAGCCTAAAACACAAAATTGCCTTGCTCAGTCTGGCGTGTTTGGCCTCTTAAATAGCAGTAGGTTTCAGAATCTAAACCATCTATTTCTTTCCCATTCCTAGTTCTGCCCTTTCTCTAATAGATAGCATGCTCTTTCTTGCATGTTTCTATAGAAGAAATATTTTTTAAATAACCCATTAAATAGTGCAAAAGATGTTATTTACTTAAATTAAAATGCTTGCATAATTTATATAAATCTTTTTATTTATTTATTTTTTGAGTCGAGTCTCTCTCTGCTGCCCAGGCTAGAGTGCAGTAGCATGCTCGTGGCAGCCTCGACCTGCTTGGTGGGCTCAGGTGATACTTCTGCCTGAGCCTTCCAAGTAGCTAGAACTTTAGGCTTGCACCACCACTCTGGACTAACTTTTCTGATTTATTGTAGAGACGGGCTCTTGCCAAATTGCCCAGACTGGTCTCAAACCCAGGGGCTCAGGCAATCCTCTCGCCTCCGCCTCCCAGAGGGCTGGGATTACAGGCATGAGCCACTGCACCTGGCTATATAAATCTTTTTAAATACTCAAAGTAATTGATTATAAAAATAGCCTGCATTTAGCATTAGTTTGCATCGTTAGTGAGGTTGCCATGGTAAATGAATTTTCATTTCTGCTATTGATGAGGGTGATTTCTATTTATTTTATACTGACTATAAGGTTTTGTCCTAGAAAAAAAAAGCACGTAATTTGGGATTATTTCATAAAACTTCCCTTACTCTCCAGATTCCCAGTTCTCTTCCTTTTTTATTATGCTTCTTGCTTTTATTACTTACCTCTTTCTGTTTATTTAACTGGCACTTGCACACCCTTTATCACTTAACTTTCCCCTTTATAATTATTTATAGGTTTCAGGCTTCTGTTGTAAGCTCCTTGATGATAGATACTGCCACATAGCAGGGGTTTATCCTACAATGTGAGTCTCAATTGTGGCACATATAGCTATTGAGTAAGAAGGGTTATAATCAGTGTTAGTGAACTTCACCTGTTCATATAACGGTGAATGCCCTAATGCCACATCAAAATTAATCAAGACCTAAAATATGCATCTACTTTTTCCCCAGGTTAATCAGCTCCGTGGCATCCCCAAGCTTCTGCAGCTCCTAAAAGTTCAGAATGAAGATATTCAGCGAGCCGTGTGTGGGGCCTTGAGAAATTTGGTATTTGAAGACAATGACAACAAATTGGAGGTTGCTGAACTAAATGGGGTACCTCGGCTGCTCCAGGTGCTGAAGCAAACCAGAGACTTGGAGACTAAAAAGCAAATAACAGGTAGTGTTAATGCAACATATTTTTTTTTTTTTTTTTTTTG